TTATTATATTATATATATATATATATGTATGTATGTTAATGGTAAAAATTATATTAAATGCTTAAAATTTTACTAAGAGTATTCAAAAATTTAATATAAATTATCATATATAAATTATTAAATTTTTATTACATATTTTATTAAGTTTTTTTATTACATATAAATATATATAATTTTAGTCTAAATTTTAAATATATAAAAATTTATATATAATATATAGAATGAAATATATTAAAAGTTGTATTTTGTTTGATTAGAAATTGAATAAGTAATGTAACATAATATATCAGTGAACAAAAAAAATGATGACAATTAATTATGTTATAAAACTATAAAAATTTTAAGGAATAAATGTTTATACATATAAAGGCAATAAATATGTTTATTATCTAATATTTTATGTATATCAATTAAATATGGTTTATTGAATAATATTTAAATATATATACATATATATATATATCTTTTTGTTAAAGTTTATTATAATCTTGATATTATATATTTAATACATATAATTTTGTAATATTATTCAAAATATTCAAGGATAATTTATGAATATTGATTATGTTTTAGTTGGCAACCGGAATCAAAATTTCCATTTGCTCAAGTACGTCTACCTCCAACAGATGGTCAAAAACCAGAATTTTCTGAAAATATGGAGATTGAAGTATTTTCTAGGTCCAATGAGCATGAAGCATGTGGATGGTGGAAAGCAATCATTAAGGTAAATAAAAAATTATTTCCCAACATACATGAGATTTATTAGTACAATAAGTATATATATAATATTATAAATGAAATTATCATTTTAGATGAGTAAAGGAGGTTTTCAAGTAGTTGAATATTCGGGATGGGAATGTGCTTATACTGAAATTGTAGCTAGTGAACGACTGAGGGCAAAAAATCCTAATCCTCCTATTGATAAAAATACATTTCACAAGATCGAAATAGAAGTACCTGAAGATCTAAGAGAATTGTATGTATCATATCAAACTTATTTTATAAAAAGCTAAGAAATACTTATAACATATATATTTTAAATATGTTATTTAATATAGTGCCAAAATGGAAAATGCACATAAGGAATTTCAAAAAGCGATAGGGGCGGCAGTGTGCCGATATGTGCCTGAACGAGGAGTATTGCTGGCCATCTCCCGTCATGAAAATTTACATCGTCACAGTACCATGCTCCAAGAAATGCACTTTAGAAACTTATCGCAAAAGGTGAATTACAAAATAAGTTGTAAGAGATTTGATATTTTTTAAATATTTTATGATATTATAAAATTATACAAGATACATTATATATACATAAATTTAATAAAAGTATATTTGATATCAAATGCAATATTTTATATATATGTTGCAGGTATTGCTTTTAAAAAGAACAGAAGAAGCAGCACGCCAACTTGAGTCAACTAAACTTCAAACGATTGGGGGGTAAGTAAAAATGTTAGAGTTGGTGTTGCCATTAAGAAAAATCTTGTGATATTTAAAAACCTGCCCCTATCCATACACTGTCCTGGTTACCATCCTGTCTGTGGTTTGCATTTACTGGCAGAAATAATTCACAAGATTTCTAATCATTAATATGTTTGCTTCAACATCATATAATTTTCATGAATGTTATGTAGTCACATTACAAATGTTTATTATACATTTCCTTATAGTTTATACAAGCGTGATTGTGTATAAAGTATTTAATAATTTCTTCATGCAACATTTTTAAAATTCATATACATCTGTGTGTGATAGTTATTTATTCATACTTATTTTTCATACTTTTGCCAATCACAAGAGCACGATGTGCATATAGTAATAAATCTGCACACAATGTGTTTTTTCATCTGTCTTTAGTGAATGTCACTTTTTGCTGACATATTCTTTTGTTTATTTCATAATATTATAACAAATAAATTAATGCTACATTTTTCAATGTTTGCTGATTACTATTATCAGCTGTATCTAATATGATTAAATTAATTTAATTTAATTTACATGATATATTTATATATTAAATATTTCAACTAATTTTTCTATAATTACAATTTGTTTTTAATTCGTTATATATTTAAATTAACAAGAATAAATTTTCACAAGAATAGGAAAATATAATAATTTATGATAGGAAATATAATACCATTTTCAAAATTTTGTTTCAATAAATAATTTTATTTATCTTGATATTTAATCTTGGTTAAAATAAAATCATTTCTAATAATTATATTTAATATAAAATATACTATAAAATACAGATTAGATATGCATATATCTAATTTACATATATTGAATACATACATATATATGCATATATATATATATATATATATATATATTTGTTGTATTTTACATACGCGCATGTGTGTATGTATATATATTATATATATATTACACATATTTTTTGAAGTACAAAAAATTTTGAATTCTGTCATGTTTCATCTATCATAATAAATCATCTGTTTTATCATTAATCAATAAATTGACCTAAAAATAAAATTCATTAAGTTTGAAATATTGAACATTAATAATCATATAAAAAAATCACAAATATCTTTGTAGTTTTAGATGCTTTACATGTTTTTGCAGCAGACATTATCATTACATGTTTCAGCTATTAATATATGCAATTAGGATAACTTTAATTTTTTAAGTTATCATGTTATTTATCTTTGAACACTTTAATTATTCTTATTAAAATTATATTTTTAGATTGAGATACTCATTCTTCCATACATTCAGATAATGGGTTTGTATAATTTTTTTATTGAATAAATAATATTTAATAAATTTTAAGAAGTTAGTAGAAATTTGTGAAGAATTGTTTAATGCTAACACTGGACATTAATTCTTTTTTACACAGGTATGTTTATGAGCATATAATATTTAAAAAAAATACACACACACAAAATAAATATGCAGTGATATATCCTTTGTTATCATATCAAATTGTAAGTGTATTTGTAAAAAATGTTAATGTAAAAAAACAATATAATTTTTAACATTATTCATTAAATTAATCAATATTTATTGAAATTCTTGTCGAATAGTTTGTTTTATATAAATATTTCAAAAATTAAATTTATATAAAACTTTAAAGTTTTATTATTTAGTGAGGAGCAAACAGACAGAATGGCAGGGACGCAGGATAGGGCCATCTCATATATAAGTTTTCAATAAGTTACACCAAGAGTTTCTTTCTCATTTCAGCAAATTTAGATCTTCAAACTTTATATATCAGCGTGTCTCAGACTTTGAGGCAGGAGTGAAAACAAATTCAAGGTGAGATCACAGCAGCGTGGTTTAGATTTAAGTTTAGCTTATTGTATGATAAATCACACAGCTGCATTTTTTAAATGAAAAATGAAACTACACTATAAATGTGCATGCTTCGGCGTTGTGTAGATCATTCACTTAAACTCAAATGCTTCAAGTACACTGACATACAAAATTTATTATTTATTTTTATTTTTTTTTTTTTTTTTTTTCTTATTTATTATGAGTTCTGTAGTAAAATTTTGCGTGATTGATAAAATAGTAAACATAACATGTAGCTGTGATCTGTTTTCATTTGTTTCTTTTTCTTTTTTTTTTTCTTCTTTTT